CAGAGCAAGCTTTCTTCTCCTTCCACTGTGATGGGTCCGGCGCTAGCTCCGTGGTTATGGCGGCGTCCGTCTTCCGACCGGTCCAGGGCTCGATACCCGGGAGCAACACCGAGTTAGACAGGCGGTCAGTTAATCCCTCTCTGCAGTCCGGAAACGGAGAGCCAGACTCAGAGTAGTTTTTAGTGTTGGGCCGCAAAAAAAAAGGCTTCAAGAAAAGGCGTGACGCTCAGGCAGACCACGCGTTCCTTTCGTTTCCTTCCTTTCCGTGTGTCTCCAACACATGTCAGCGATGGGGCTGAGACCATCCGCACTTGCGTGAGTCTTAAAGCCACCCCAGGCAACAGAGCAAGCTTTCTTCTCCTTCCACTGTGAGGGGTCCGGCACTAGCTCCGTGGTTATGGCGGCGTCCGTCTTTCGACCGGTCCAGGGCTCGATACCCGGGAGCAACACCGAGTTAGACAGGCGGTCGGTTAATCCCTCTCTGCAGTCAAACGGAGAGCCAGACTCAGAGTAGTTTTGAGTGTTGGGCCGGAAAAAAAAAGGCTTCAAGAAAAGGCGTGACGCTGCACTTGCGTGAGTCTTAAAGCCACCCCATGGCGACAGAGCAAGCTTTCTTCTCCTTCCACTGTGATGGGTCCGGCACTAGCTCCGTGGTTATGGCGGCGTCCGTCTTCCGACCGGTCCAGGGCTCGATACCCGGGAGCAACACCGAGTTAGACAGGCGGTCAGTTAATCCCTCTCTGCAGTCCGGAAAAACGGAGAGCCAGACTCAGAGTAGTTTTGAGTGTTGGGCCGCAAAAAAAAAGGCTTCAAGAAAAGGCGTGACGTTCAGGCAGACCACGCGTTCCTTTCGTTTCCTTCCTTTCCGTGTGTCTCCAACACATGTCAGCGATGGGGCTGAGACCATCCTCACTTGCGTGGATGTTAAAGCCACCCCAGGCGACAGAGCAAGCTTTCTTTCTTTGCACCGTGACTCCAGCCACTCATGTCAGCTATGGGGTTCGAACCCCTGCGCTCTTGCGTGCAGTGGATCTTAAGTCCACCCCCTTAACCACGGGCAAACTGACTGCTGCCGGAAAGTAGCCATTGCTGGTCACACATGTCAGCGATGGGGCTGAGACCATCCGCACTTGCGTGGATGTTACAGCCACCCCAGGCAACAGAGCAAGCTTTCTTCTCCTTCCACTGTGACTCCAGCCACTCATGTCAGCTATGGGGTTCGAACCCATGCGGGCTTGCGTGCAGTGGATCTTAAGACCACCCCCTCAACCACGGGCAAACTGACTGCTGCTGGCAAGTAGCCATTGCTGGTCACACTGGGAGATCGGTGAAGTTTTGAGTGTTGGGCCGCAAAAAAAAGGCTTCAAGAAAAGGCCGTGTGTCTCCAACACATGTCAGCGATTGGGCTGAGACCACCGGCACTTGCGTGGATCTTAAAGCCACCCCAGGCGACAGAGCAAGCTTTCTTCTCCTTCCACTGTGAGGGGTCGGGCATTAGCTCCGTGGTTATGGCGGCGTCTGTCTTCCGACTGGTCCAGGGCTCGATGCCCGGGAGCAACACCGAGTTAGACAGGCGGTCAGCTAATCGCTCTCTGCAGTCCGGAAACGGAGAGCCAGACTCAGAGTAGTTTTGAGTGTTTGGCCGGAAAAAAAAAGGCTTCAAGAAAAGGCGTGACGCTGCACTTGCGTGAGTCTTAAAGCCACCCCAGGCAACAGAGCAAGCTTTCTTCTCCTTCCACTGTGAGGGGTCCGGCACTAGCTCCGTGGTTATGGCGGCGTCCGTCTTTCGACCGGTCCAGGGCTCGATACCCGGGAGCAACACCGAGTTAGACAGGCGGTCAGTTAATCCCTCTCTGCAGTCCGGAAACGGAGAGCCAGACTCAGAGTAGTTTTTGAGTGTTGGGCCGCAAAAAAAAGCTTCAACAAAGGCGTGACGCTCAGGCAGACCACGCGTTCCTTTCGTTTCCTTCCTTTCCGTGTGTCTCCAACACATGTCAGCGATGGGGCTGAGACCATCCGCACTTGCGTGGATGTTAAAACCACCCCAGGCGACAGAGCAAGCTTTCTTCTCCTTCCACTGTGAGGGGTCGGGCATTAGCTCCGTGGTTATGGCGGCGTCCGTCTTCCGACCGGTCCAGGGCTCGATACCCGGGAGCAACACCGAGTTAGACAGGCGGTCGGTTAATCCCTCTCTGCAGTCCGGAAACGGAGAGCCAGACTCAGAGTAGTTTGGAGTGTTGGGCCGGAAAAAAAAAGGCTTCAAGAAAAGGCGTGACGCTGCACTTGCGTGAGTCTTAAAGCCACCCCATGGCGACAGAGCAAGCTTTCTTCTCCTTCCACTGTGATGGGTCCGGCACTAGCTCCGTGGTTATGGCGGCGTCCGTCTTCCGACCGGTCCAGGGCTCGATACCCGGGAGCAACACCGAGTTAGACAGGCGGGCAGTTAATCCCTCTCTGCAGTCCGGAAACGGAGAGCCAGACTCAGAGTAGTTTTGAGTGTTGGGCCGCAAGAAAAGAGGCTTCAAGAAAAGGCGTGACGCTCAGGCAGACCACGCGTTCCTTTCGTTTCCTTCCTTTCCGTGTGTCTCCAACACATGTCAGCGATGGGGCTGAGACCATCCGCACCTGCGTGGATCTTAGAGACACCCCAGGCGACAGAGCAAGCTTTCTTTCTTTGCACCGTGACTCCAGCCACTCATGTCAGCTATGGGGTTCGAACCCATGCACACTTGCGTGCAGTGGATCTTAAGTCCACCCCCTTAACCACGGGCAAACTGACTGCTGCCGGAAAGTAGCCATTGCTGGTCACACATGTCAGCGATGGGGCTGAGACCATCCGCACTTGCGTGGATGTTACAGCCACCCCAGGCAACAGAGCAAGCTTTCTTCTCCTTCCACTGTGACTCCAGCCACTCATGTCAGCTATGGGGTTCAAACCCATGCGCACTTCCGTGCAGTGGATCTTAAGTCCACCCCCTTAACCACTCGGGCAAACTGACTGCTGCCGGCAAGTAGCCGTTGCTGGTCAGACTAAGAGATCGGTGAAGTTTTGAGTGTTGGGCCGCAAAAAAAAGGCTTCAAGAAAAGGCAGACCACGCGTTCCTTTCGTTTCCTTCCTTTCCGTGTGTCTCCAACACATGTCAGCGATGGGGCTGAGACCATCCGCACTTGCGTGGATGTTAAAACCACCCCAGGCGACAGAGCAAGCTTTCTTCTCCTTCCACTGTGAGGGGTCGGGCATTAGCTCCGTGGTTATGGCGGCATCCGTCTTCCGACCGGTCCAGGGCTCGATACCCGGGAGCAACACCGAGTTAGACAGGCGGTCGGTTAATCCCTCTCTGCAGTCCGGAAACGGAGAGCCAGACTCAGAGTAGTTTGGAGTGTTGGGCCGGAAAAAAAAAGGCTTCAAGAAAAGGCGTGACGCTGCACTTGCGTGAGTCTTAAAGCCACCCCATGGCGACAGAGCAAGCTTTCTTCTCCTTCCACTGTGAGGGGTCCGGCACTAGCTCCGTGGTTATGGCGGCGTCCGTCTTCCGACCGGTCCAGGGCTCGATACCCGGGAGCAACACCGAGTTAGACAGGCGGGCAGGTAATCCCTCTCTGCAGTCCGGAAAAGGAGAGCCAGACTCAGAGTAGTTTTTAGTGTTGGGCCGCAAAAAAAAAGGCTTCAAGAAAAGGCGTGACGTTCAGGCAGACCACGCGTTCCTTTCGTTTCCTTCCTTTCCGTGTGTCTCCAACACATGTCAGCGATGGGGCTGCTTGGATGACCGCAGGTACTTATAAATATTTAGCCCACATATATGTGTGATAACCATGGTTATAACCATGGTTATAAGTCCATAACCATGGTTATAACCAAGGTTATCGGATTTATAACTCCATAAGTATGGTTATCCTACTTATAATTTTTTGATCTAACTATTTCAAATTACTAATTGGGATAATTTTTTATGAAAAATTATAAGTAGAACTCGAAAAATTATAACCTAGTTATCCTACTTACATAAGTAGGATAACCATGGTTAGCCTACTTAGCTAAGTATACTTAGCCCATTTATAAACATCAATAACCGTGATTATAAGTAGGTTATTTTTGAATTTGCATCAACATTTTTGGAGCCGCCACTGCGGTGAGATCGATATTTTTTTGTGATTTGGCATTGTTTGTTTCGATAATTTTGCTCAGCGATTTGCAATTTCCAAAGATTTTTTTGAAGTTTTTTTTCGCGCTGAGCGCGTTTGAGTTGAGTCGGTGACATTTGAGGTTGCAGGATGGCGTCGCAACCTGTTGGCCCAATCATGTTTCAACACAGGCTCAACAAACAAACTCCTTATACCAGGAGATACGTTTTGAGCGCATAGAAAGAAACACATCGTTTGAAACATTTTAAAACCAATATTTTGAAACATGTTTTTGAACAAACAACAGCGTATTTTTGAACAAACAACAGCGTATTTTTGAACAAACAGTGCTCGCAGTGATTGGACCACAGAATGTTTGTGTCCCTTTTGGTAGCACGATCATGTTTGGGTTGCCAAACGGTTACGTGCTTGACCATGACAAAACACTGCAGCTGACAATTTTCTTGAGCCAAGTTGGCTTCACACATTCGCAGCCACGAGGCCGGGCAGATCAGCCAAGTTTGGGACCTTGCGATTTGAAACTTCTGTTCCTTTTTTTTCTGGCAGCTCCTGTTTTTGAACAAACAATTTGTTAAACGAGACTGGTTGAAACATGGATGCACGCTGCTTGCATGGTTTGGTCAGCGCTGTTTTTTTTGTCATGATGCAAGGAAACCGTCTGGATCTATAGGAACCTACACTGTTTTTTTGTGGTTTGAGCAATCGCTTGATTTGAATAAATTTTAAGCAGGGCACGACACAGTGCTCGCATCATTTGGCAGTGCAGGGCTCTCGGATCTCGCACGATACTGCCAAGTCTTGGATCAAAAACAGATTTCTAGCGCCAACCTGTTGGAAACAGTGGAGGCAATTTCGACATGGCCTTGAGTCAATCGATTCAGGATGAGATCACTCAGTGCTTGGCTCATGCCGACGAAGCCGGGCAGGTGGTCCAGGCAAGTGGCAGGCTGATGGCAGTCTTGGAAAAGCATCAGCTGAGCAGGCTTGTTCGCCTGAAACCAGATGAGGTCGGCGTTCACTCACAGAACAGGGATGGGTTCGGGATCTGCCCCAAAGATGTGCACAGTCTCTTGAGCAGCATTGCCGCTGTCGGCTTCGACGCCAATCAGGCAACCCCAATCTGTACAGAGATTGGGAGCGGCAACGACATCCTCCAGTTCAACCAAGGGCTGGTGGCATCTTCTGGTGGACTGCTGCCAGAAGTCAACCCCACCAAGCTGCGCTTCGCGTCCCTGAGTTGCAGCCGCACAAATGCGGCTCTGAGATGTGCACTGCATGAGGTCGTTTCTGAGGAGGAACTTGTCTCGCTGAATGGACGTATGAGCATGTCCAAAATTCAGTCCATTGACAAGGCCCTGTACGATGCCTGCCATGCAGGCTTGGAATGGACGGTGATCCACCGAGATGTGATGGACTTTTCTCCAAAGATCGCTCAGCTCATCCAGAGCGCCTGCAATGTATCCAGTCACATTGCAAAAGGGGAAAGTGAATGGCAGATCCTTGCCAGAATGACATCACTAATGAAGACTCAGCCCCATGCTGATTGGAACCAGGTCAAGAAGCAAGTGCTCCAGACCAAGCCGCAGTGTCATGAGGCAACGCCTTACATGTTCACCTTTTTGAAAAATTTTTCCCATGAAGGTTTGATGAAGAGCATTGACGCAAGGATCAAGGCGCATACCAGCACAAGCAAGAGTTTGGGCAAAGACTTTTTTGTGCAGCTGAGCGCCCAGTCGAAAGACTGGAAGCAGCCTTTCTTGCATTTGCGCCACGCTGTGCTTTCGTTGGCATACACATCCGACAAGGCATTTCACGCACTGGATGTCAAGAAACTCCTGGCAAAAGAGCTGGCCCCACGCAGTGCCAAAGCTCAAGACTTGATGATCAAGTTTCAAGGGCTGCTGGCCAAGGAGAGTCTTGGCGATTCCAGATCAGCCATTGAAAATCTGTTTCATCATTTTCAAGATCACTTGATTCTGGAATGCTTGGACAAGATGAAAGATGAGACCCCAGAGTCTCTGGCTTGCACACTGGTGGATGAGATCGAGAAACTCTTGGAGAAGCGAATCACGGCTGAGTTCGATGGCCAGAACACTGCCACCTCAAAGTTGCAGGCCGTGGTTTCTGCAAGCTCATCTGGGCACTCAGTGCAATTTGGTTTCATTTAACAAAATCTGTTTATGTTTTGATAGAATTGTTGTTTAATTTGCATTTGGATTTTCAACAGTTCAAGCCACCCTCCCATTTTCTTTCTTCAAATTTGTTTTTTGCAACTGCCGAGGCAGCTGGAGTACGACTCCAGCGGCCAGCTGAAAAACCCAAGTCAGCTGGTGGAAGCCATGGGATTCAGCACGGGGGCGTCGGTGATGCGTGGCCAACAGAGGGCCACCATCACCGGCATGCAGGCTGCACAGATCCAACTCACCATGGACGATGGAGTTGAATACGAAATCTCCATCAATAGCTTTCTCAAGGGCGAGTGGAAACTCAGCAAAAAGGTCGCCGATGTTCAAAAGTTTGGGCACGACGACTTCAAAGACTACATGCCGCACAAGAACGACACCCTGAACTTCATGTGCGTCAAGGGTGAGGTCAGCCGCAGGCTGATTGAACTGGAGATTCAGCACGAACCATCCTACAAAGGCCTAGTCTTGCAGACAAAGCCCTACAAGAGTGTCTTCACCTCCAAACAGTATGCAAAGGGCAAGCTGGTCTTGGTTCCCAGCACTCAGAAAATTGAAAGGAAGGCTTGTCCTGGTTCTGTGGCCTTGGGGTCCATCCGAGACATCGGATTGCACTTGTGGCCATGCTATGGACCTCCAAAGCGTGATGATCTCGATGGCTCGTTCTTGTGCCCCTTTTGGATGGTCAAGCGAACCAACAAGGAGTCTGAGGCAAATGTGGAGGTTCGCAAGCTGATCGCAGAAGACCAGGAGAACAACAGCGTGAAGATTCCTCTGATGTACAACATCTCTGCCTTGGATGCATCCACTGAGCTCAAGTTGTTTGTGCCCAAGCCTCAGAAGGAGGAGCCTGAAGCTCTGGTGCCAGTCCCGCAGCCAAAGCGCCAGAGGTGCAAGGGCCCAGGGCAGTGAGCTCATGGCAGATTTTGAAGGTGAAAAACAGTTGGGACCTCATGCGTTCTTGTTCCTTCCGTCAGCGAGCAACATTGAGAACACCATAAAAGGTTGTTGCCCTGCAAATCGTTTTTCCCCAACAGCAGAATGCTTTGGGGTCTCAGCCCACATAGCCTTCGGGGTGCTCCGGGGCACTGCTCGACCCTGCCGCCTCGTTTCGCCGGTTCCGGGAACCAGGGTTCCGAGAACCGGTTCCGGGAACCAGGGTTCCGAGAACCGGTTCCGGGAACCAGGGTTCGGGGCAAGGTTCCGGGAACCCAGGGTTCCGGGAACCAGGGTTCGGGGCAAGGTTCCAGGAACCCAAGGTTCCGCAAACCAGACTTTCAAGCAAGGTTCTGGGAACAATGGGTTCTGGCTACCTTTTGGGTTCCGGGACGTCAAGGTTCCGGGAAGGTTCCGGGCACACTTGGCTTTCGACAAGGTTCCGGGAACCTTACCATGGTTTCGAGCAGCCAGAGCCTGGATTGTGCCAAAGTTCTGGAATCACCGGAACACCAATTTTGAGACATCCTGCAAACCCAGAGTTTGGGGAACCAGGATTCTGGCAAGAGTCCAGCAACACTGGGTTCCGACAAGGTTCCGAGAACCACCACAGATGCGGACCCACAGTTTGGATATACTTCCTGGATTATGCCACAGGTTCCGGACAGGGACAAGGTCAGAGTTCTGGCAAGGTTCCGAGGTTCCGGAAACAACCCAGGGGTCGGATATACGCCGTGGGTTGTACCAAGGTTCATGCTACGGACAGGGTCCCAGAAAACCAATTTGCAAGGAAACCAAGGTTCCAGGACCAAAAGGGCCCGGTCAACGAGCAATCGCTGACAGGGGGGGGGACAGCGTGACAATAAATCAGCGCGTCTCGGTTCCGGAAACCCAGGTTTCCAATATACGCTGTGGGTTGCGCCAAGGTTCCGGAAACGAGGGTTCCAGGAAGACAAGGTTCCAGGGACACAAGGTTCCAGGAACACAAGGGATTCCGGAAATCCCCCAGCCAATCTTGGGTGCTTTGTGGCCCCTCACTGAATTTCGAATTCATGTTCGTTTGCTCAGTGGGCGCACAGCGTCGGTCGACTGACCTGTTCTGATGTTGCTGTAAAATCTTCTGTTTGAACTGTTCCGATGTCGCATCTACCAAAGCACATGCCACATCAAGCAATTAAGTTCGATGCCTTGGAACACCTAAATATTGGCAGCAAACCTGTGTGAGGCTTCTCGAAGCCAGGTATATAATTTTTTGAAGCTAAGTGACCAAACAGCAACACACAATGAAACTTCAGACACAGTTGTGACAGACACAACAACCAAGTATTGACATGAAACTAATTCTGGAATCATGATGGACAATTTGGCCAAAACCAACTGTTTCACCAATCACTTGCGCAAACTGACCGATGTTGTCCAAGCACAACAAGATAATCCCAAACCAACACACACACAATTTTGTAAACACTTAATGACACACCGTGGTCTGCAAATACTGCCATTCGTTTGTAACCAA